GCTTCTAGGCTTGGCTGGTGTTTGGAGGTGAGCCCCGTGTGCAGGGGAAGGGGGAGGTGGGGAAGGTTGTCCCTGCTAATTAACAAAGACCTGTGACCTGGAACACCCAAGGTAGCCATCTGCCTTTTCCTCCTGCTCAGCCCCTTTTGGCACATGGGTATATGTGGGGGTGGGTGTTTTGGGGGCTAAGAGATGGCATTTCCATAGGCCTGTATTTCAGCATCTCCTAACTCAGAAATTGCTGAGTCACAGAGGCATGGCTCTGACCTTATTTTTCTCCTGAGCTAGCTTCCAGAATCTTTGAGTGGCAGAGGATCTGAGAGCTCAGCTACCCCAGCCACTCCATGGCATGTTAAAGAGACAGAGGGCAACGGGGCTGGCCCAGACTGGTGTCATTCTGACTGTTCCTCAAATGCACTCAGTGACAACAAGCCTCTTTCTTGGACCCTTTAAGAAGCCATTGGCTCTCCAAATGAACACCTAGGATGCATGTGAGAAGATAGGGAAAGACTCTGGGAAGGGTGGCTGGCACACAACCCAGATCACGTAGGATGTGAGCTGAAGCCGTGGGGTTGCTACTCTGTCCACCCCTGGCCTGCTCCTACTTCCTGCCTCGGCCATGGAGAGATGCTTGCTCGAGCTCATCCCGATCTCAGAGGTGGAGGGACCTATATTCCAGGCCCCACAGTCCTCTTGGATGGTTGGGGTGGGCAGGGGCAGAGCTGGGAGAGTGTGGGTGAAACAGGGCGGGAGGGGAAGCTGCAGCGTTGGCAGGGCTGCACCTCACTAGTGTGGAACTCGAGTCTGCAAGTTTCCATGCTGGCGGGACCTTTGGGCTTATCCATCTTTAGATATGAAACACTAAGGCTCTGAGAGGTCATGAGGGAGTGCCATGGAGTATGGCCCCAGGCGTCCTGGCTGGCAGTCTCATGGTTTTCATCCCTTACCAGGCTGCCTAAATTGTGACAACTTCTGGGCTGGTGACCAGAGCATAGCTCTGTGATGATGCTCCCCTCTGCCTTGTTTTCCCTAACTTAAAAAACATTTTTATGAAATATTTTGGGCAACTGAAAAAGGGTGGATAATTTAATAAACACTCTTACACTTACCACCCAGCCTAAGAATTAAAGTATCATAGATTCAGTCAAAGCATTCTTCCCACCCCCACCTCCTTATCAACTTCCTTTTCTTCTCTTTCTCGCCACAGATAGCCACTTTCCCCAACCACATGTCCATCCTTCCTGTGCATGTGTGCACAGGTCTCCTGACGCCTAGGACCCCCGGCCTGTGTGGCCCCACCTGCCAGGCTTGCAGCTGGCTCTGCCTCTCTCCTCATTCCTTGCAGCGACCCTGCAGCCCTGCTCCGGACCCTTGCCAAGGGAATTGATATTTGTTCCACTCTTTAGGCTGTGCGGCAGGCACGGCCTGGCACAGAGGGCACTCGTATTGGCTGAGCAGCAGCTGGCATTGTCGGGGAAATGCCCAGCCTGGCCCAGAGGGTGGACCCAGGAAAGGCTGAGGGCATCAGGCCTGCCCTTTGCAGCAGACTGGAGGGAGTGACGGGGAATATGGCCATGAGCAAGGTCTTGAGAGCCCTCGGGCTGGGTGGAAGAACATCAGGGTGGGAGGACCACTTCCCACACCTGTGGCCCCCAGGCTGGGCCTCTTTACACTCTTAAAAAAGTAGTGAAACCCCAAGAAAATTTTATGTGGGTTATATCTATATGTGCCATATTAGAAATGATAACTGAGAACATTTGTAAGCATTTAAAATATTAAAAATCACATTGCATTAACACAAGTAATATGTGTGTAAGGAAACAGTCATGTTTTCCAAAACAAAAAAAATTAGAATGGCATTGGTTTTATATTTTTGCCGATCTCGACTGTGTGACTGAAGAGAGATTCCCTTATCTGCTCTTGCAATCCGGCCCCCGTGATATCACAGGCCCTATGGCCTCTAAAAACTCCATTCCAGAGTCATGAGACTGTAAAGACCAACACTCTCTGTATTTCAGCATTTCTTAACCCAGAAATAGGTCTGGCCTAGGGGTCCTACCAGTCCCTGGAGGACCCGGGGTCACTGGCTGGAGGCTGGGAGGAGAGGGTGATGGCAGTGTCTGTCCCACTGACCAAGTCTGTCCCACAGGTGTGCTGGCACTATGGGTCCTGGTGACGCACATAATGTACATGCAGGATTACTGGAGGACCTGGCTCAAGGGGCTGCGTGGCTTCTTCTTCGTGGGCGTCCTCTTCTCAGCTGTCTCCATTGCCACCTTCTGCAACTTCCTTGTGCTGGCCATCACCCGACACCAGAGTGAGGGCCAGTGCTGGGGGGGGCGGGGCGGGATGGACGGGGACTGGGGGGTGGCGCTTACATCCAAGGGACTGGCCAGAGCACTTAACCTCCTGTGTCTCAGTTTTCTCACTGTTAGAGTGGGTTGAATGAGAGTAGCCATACCCTGGGGTTGGAAGGGTTCAGTGAAATGTGTGGGAAGTGCTGAGCACATGTAGTAGGATGGCAGTGCCCCCTGGTGGCTGCAACCAGCAAGAAGCCAAAGGCCCTTGTCCCTGACCCTAGGGAATCTGATGTTCAGGCAGGTTCAAGCGGGTTGGAAGTGGCTGAGGGTAAAAGTGACAAAAGCAAAAGATGCCACACCTGTGAATGGCCAGCCTTGACCTTCCCTCATCCCACTGCCTGCAAGCCCTGAAGGCTGGTTCAGCCTCTATTGGAGGTTGGAAAGGGCAGCCCCAGCCTTGTGGGATGGGGGCTGGGAAAGAGGGCAAGGCCCTCTAGAGTCAGTCGGGCTCCTCTCCCTTGCAGGCCTCAAAGACCCCAACAGCTACTACCTGTCCTGCGTTTGGAGCTTCATTGCCTTCAAGTGGGCCTTCCTGCTCAGCCTCTACGCCCACCGCTACCGGGCTGACTTTGCCGACATCAGCATCCTCAGCGATTTCTGACCCAGGGGGTGAGATCTCTGCACCCTGGGGTCCTCAGGACCTGGACTCAGCTTCTGAGACATCAGGTGGGACTGTCCCACCCCTGGGGTACCCCAGCACCGTGGCAGGAAAAACAGGAAGACTTTGGTCTCCCAGGACACTGTCCCCGTCCACTTTGGGGGAGACCTGGGGGTGGTGGAAAGGGGTCCTGCTCTGTTGCTCCTCATTAGCCTGGCTGGACGGAAGCTTTTCAAATAGATCTATTTTCTTAGCGCTCAGTGAGGAAGTTTTGTAAGGGCCAAGGCAACAGTTGAGGGGCAAAGAGGCCTTGACCCATGCCTGGGGGCAGGTGATCTGGTCCCTGCTGCCCCAGGGACTTTCCCTCAGACCAGGGTGGAAACCTGGGAAGGGAAGGTCAAGTAAGGGGTCTCCAGTAGAGACCTCACCCCAAACCCCAGCATCCCATCCTGTTGTTCCCCCAAGGTCTTAGGCAGAGAGTTCAGTGTCCCTGTCCCACCCTGAGCTGGCCTCCCGAGTGTGCTGGTCAGTCATCTCCGTCACCACCCAAGTCCTCCCTCTTACACGCACCACACACCTCAGAGCAGGACTCCCCAAATGAGGCCAGACTAAGGATCTTGGGGAAGGTGCTCCTGCCCCCAGAAGGGCTTGAGTAGGGGGCAGCATGGTGCAGGCCAGAAGGACCCCAGATCTGTGCCTACACACCTGCAGCCCTGCATTTCCACTCGGCCTTCTCACACCTGCCCTGGTTACACCCAGAACACCCCCTGCTATGAGATGCCTCCCCCCCCCCCCCCCCCCGCAACTCCTGCCCCTCACCTAGAGCTTATATCTTTTACCTCCCTCTTGAAGGATAAACCTGCTCTCTGCCCATACACTGGCCCAAGGGCTCCCCTGACTCGGGAGGGAAGAGGCTACTGATATGTGTGTCTTTTTATGTTAGGTTGCCATTTTGCACGTCTACCCCTTTCCCACCTCAGCTCTTTGCCTTATCTGTGTTACTGTCACTTAAGCAGAAATACAGCGACTGTTTGTATCAGACAGCCTCTGGTTGTTTCTTGGGGGGATTGTGAGAGCAGTGGGTGGGAGGGCTGGTGGTGCTGGGTCTCTAGTTGTCTTGTAAAGCCATTTCCTTAGCTCACAATGTGCCCTGGTAGGCAGGAGAGGGGTTGGTGTCTCAGGGGCTGGAGACCCTCTCCCTCTGGTCCCCTTGGCATGGGGGAAGCCACCGGCTTGACTCTCCTCCTCTGGCTCTCAGCACACCCTGGCCGGGGTGAGGATGCCCATGGACACAGCCTCAGCCAGGACAGATGGGGTTTAGTGTCTGTCACCCAAGAGGCAGGACAGATGGGAAGGGGATAGATCCTCTTCCCTTCATACTCTCCCCGGCTGTGAGGGCTTCTGGCCAGGTCTGAGGTCATGAGGCTCTACTCCCGTAGGCTGGACAAGCCTGGCCCACTCAGAGCCATAGAGACAGGCGCTGGCAGCCCTGGCACCATCATCTTGGCATGCACTGAGCTTGTCCAGGCCTGTGGCCTCACCTCTTCTCTCTTTGAGGCTCAGTATACGCTTAAGAAGTCATGGTGCATTAGCGCAGGAACCATAAACATTGTCTATTTCTGGAGCCTTTAACTGGTAAACAGAGGCCCCTAGAGGTGACATGACACAACTGACCTCCAAGCTGGGACTGGAACCAGGTAAGTCTGATTCACGACTCTTCGGGGATGCCTTAGTGAGCAGGTTCTGAGCAGCTATATACCTGCCCCCCGGCCCCCCCCCCCCCCACTCCACCCCACAGTGGGCCCTCTGTCTATGGACTCAGCCCAAAGCTGCCACCTCCTTATTACCCCAGGTGGGGCAGGCAGGGGCAGCTAGAGTGTTCAGAATGGATTCTTCCTGCAGGGCAGCTCCACAAGGGGCAAGGAGCTGGGGGCGGGGGGGGGGGGGGGGGGGCTGGTCCCTTCTTCTCCACAGTGAACAGACGCACGCTGTGCTGTGGAGCTGTGTGCCCCCTGCACACCCCATCCCCTGTCATGTGCACCTTTAAAGCAAATAAAACATTTATTGTTCAGATTTTTTTCCATTTTTTTCTCTTTTTTACAAAAACATGCATACATACACAGGGTATGGTTGTCCTAGGGAAGACATGTACGCACACGCACACACGCACACACACACTCTCGCGCATATTCGCACACACATACTATCCTTCTTGGCCCCAGAAGCCTTGACTTTGCCAGTCTGCCTCCCCTCCCCCATGTCTTGCATCTACTCTCCTACCCCCTTCCCCCTCAGCCAAGCTAGTCCTATGTGAGGCAGGAGTTGGAGCTGGGGTGGGAGACACCCCAGAAAGAGAACACTCCTGGAGGGGGCAGTGACCGAGGGATCCCTGGGGGTCACACTGTGCTTCTGAGGGGAGATGAGGGTTTGGCACCATTGGATCAGGAAGCACGGAACTCCAAGAGCACCCATCTCCTCCACCAGGGCACTGAGATGGTCGGCACCAGAGGGGGCCTAACGATGACTGTTCTCAAGGGAGCTTTGTCTCACTGCCCGGTGGTGGTGCGGGGTTGGGGTGGCTTCCATAGTCATTTGAGTAAACAGGCAAGAGGAGGGACTCCCCCTGCACTCAGGGATATAGGACCCCTTGGCTCCTCCTATCTCCCTCCCCCCCACTCCAGCCCTCAGAGCCTAGGAAGGGCTACCCTGGCTGAGGCCAAGTTCACATTTCTGTGTGGAGCCTGGGGCTGTGTGCAAAGTCCAGGGTCTACAGCGCCAAGAATAGTGGTTATGGGTGGGCCTGACTGAGCCAGTCCTCCGTGCAGTCCTGAGGAATGGGGGCCCAGTAGGGCCTGGACCCCACATGGGCAGACTCTGTTTTTAGGAGAGCCCTACAGGGGGTTGGCCAGCTGCCCTGCCTGCCTCCTCAGGGTCCTCTTTGGTCCCTATCCTAGACCCAGGGGCCTTTGCAGTCTCCTTGGAGTGACTGTCAAGGGACTGTTCTCTGGCCACAATTACCTGCCCAGAGGACCTCTGAAAACCCCAGGAGCAGGTACTATTGCCAGAGGTAAGAAGAGAACCAGGTCGGAAGGGCAGGATGGGCCAGCAGAACCATTCCAAAGCCTTAGAGATTCATAGGTTCTTCCTCCTCCACCAGCTGCTCTGAGGGCCTGGGGGAGGATAAGCATGGGGTTGCTGGGGGGCCAGGGGCTGCAGAGAGGGCCTCAGCCCACCTTCCCAAGAAGGCTGGGCTGGAATCTGGGATCCTTAGGTTGGAAGGGCTCAAGGGGTGGCGAGGCTGCCGGCCGGGGGTCGGTATTACCTCTCTTCAGCCAGGATGCCAACGGAGAGGGATGCCAGTGCAGTCACTGCCTCCACTTCTTCTGCATCAGCTCCTGGCACCCTGGGCACCCAAGATTCTGGACAGGAGGCCAGGCGCTGCATGCAGCCCCAGTATTTACCTGGGACAAGAAGCCGAGTCAGAGAGGGTTGGGGAGAACAAGTCCTCCAGCCTGCCTCCCCACACATCCTAGACCGGTACGGAGACCGAACACCTCAGGCCAGGGTCCAAGAGTAGCGGCCGTATCCTCAATCTGGGGTCAGTTCTCTCACCTGCCTCTACCTCAAGACACAACCTTCCTCGACTTGGCCCCCACAGCCTGACAAAGTGAGCAGAGCATTCAGCATGGCTATGAGGTGGCCTCATAGGTGCCCAAGCCATTCTCCCCCGCCTTTGGCTGAAAGGTCGCCTCTAGCCTATTCCCACAGGTGCATGGTTCCTAACGGCATCAGCCCCAGGCAATGGTCAGCCCAGAACACAGGACAGGAGCAGGTGGTCAGTCCAGCAATGGTCAGCCCAGGACCCAGCACGGGGAGAGCTGACTGTCATCACGGGGTGGCCACCGGCTAGCCACTCACCCGCCCTGGGCTCCCACATGGACATGCCCACCCTGCCTCCCCTTGTGAAAAGTCAGGTCCAGGGAACACGCCCAGAGCGAGGACTCTGTACAAAGTTCCTGCAACACCTTTATGTTCCCTACATGCCCTTACTGAGCCCAGATGCAAGGAAACCTAATTTATCCCTTTTTTGTATCCCTTGCGTAGATCATGGGTATTTACACAAAATGCTCCACAGGTACCGAGTTGAAATGGAAATTTTAAAGTGCTTTCCAAATGTGGGATTATCTTAAGACCCAGCCCCCAAAACGGGCAGAGCAACCGAGGCCCTTGTGGCCAGGACTGAAGGTGAGGTGTGAACCAGCACTGTTTACTAACGAGCCTGAGTGTAGCTGTTCACTGGCCCTGGCCTGGGGCTGTGACTGGAGATCGGAGCTCAGTCCTGCCTTGAGGAGGCAGGCCACTGTCTGGTGGTCCCTGCGGGGCCCATGTGGAGGCTCTGAGGGTATCCACACTTGGGGTGGCTGCCCCACCATCCGGGTGAGGTAACTGATAGGAAGCCTATTCCTGACCAGCCCCAAGGTTCCTAGCTGGCTGGCAGTGGAAGCTCTGGTGACTGGGAACAGCACCCCTGAGGTTCTCCCCAGTCTAGGGTCAGTCAGTGTTCTCCCTCTACACTCACTGTGCACCCGGATCACAGCTTCCAGAGAACGGATGGCGTTGAGGTTGGGTTTCTGTTTCCAGCCTTTTTCTGCGAGGGGATCCACCTACGGAAGAAAACAGTACATCAACCACCAGTCTTGGGGACCCATAGCCCAGGTCTCTCCCACACCAAGGGCCCTGGCTTTCTGGTTTCTGGGCACAGATAGGCATGTGCCTCTGGCTCCGCCTAGGGCAGGAGGTTCTGGCTCCAGACCTTACCTGGGGAAGAGGCATCCGCTCTGTCCCTCTTATTCCAGGCCTGGCCATCCCCGCCCTATCTGTGGGCCCTCAGGGATGCACCCCATTTGTCTGCTCTTTGGGGGCTGTCCTGCGCGAGTGCTGGGCTCCTGTTCCCAGAGGCATGGATGAGGGGAGCAGCTCACCTTGTTGCCCAGAAGAGCAGCCACACAGGCCTCAGAGGCGTCACAGATGGCTGTGAGGTCGTGGCCGCCCTCCAAGGCCAGCACCACTGCACCTCCAGCCAAGCTCATCAGCTGCTGCGTCATGTACCCAAAACCTAGATATTTGAGGAAAGGGGAGGGAAGGGAGGGAGAGGGGTGGAGGAGAGGTGGACCCTCTCCACGTATTATATCCCTGCTTGCTTCTTCCCTTATATGTAACTAGAGGCCGGTGAACATTTGTGTACTAGGGGGGCAGAAGAGGGCCCCTCAGCCTAGACTGCACAAGCGGACATCCCCTAAAGGGTCCTTAGTGCTGCCTTGGAGGCTACAGAGGCTCCCAACGCCGCCTCTGCGCTCGCCAGCTGTGAGCCCAGCTTCTGGCTGAGCAGCACTCCCCCTGGGGAAGCACACTGACCACCAGGGGTCAGCTCCTGCATTGAGCATCTGCCCCCTGGTGGTTAGTGTGCACCACAGCGACTGGTCGATCCATAGTTTGGTCGATTTGCATATTAGGGTTTTATTATATAGGACTAGAGCCCTGGCGCACGGATTCGTGCACTGGTGGGGTCCCTCGGCCTGGCCTGCGCCCTCTTGCAATCTGGGACCCCTTGGGGGATGTTGGACTGCCAGCTTCAGCCCAATCCCCACAGGCCAGGCTGAGGGACCCCACTGGTACACGAATCCATGCACTGGGCCTCTAGTACGCATATAAGATCTTTGGTTAATCTCTTCCCGCCCTCCCCACTTCCCTCTTCCCTCTGAGACTCATCAGTCCGTTCCATGTCTCCATGCCTGTGCATTGAGCATCTGCCCCCTGGTGGTCAGTGCACGTCATAGTTACAGGTCGAACAGTCATTTAGGCTTTTATATATATAGATGATACAGATGCAAAATTCTACCATCCCAAGCGCTTTCACATGGAGTCCCATGTGAAACCTATGAGTATGCCTCACTCAGGGCTCAGAAGTTAAGGTCCTTGCACAAGGGTTCACAGCTAGTAAACAGCAGGGCTAGGACTTGAACTGGGGACATCGACTCCAGCGACATCTTTTTCAATGAGTCTCACCATCTTTTCTTTCTGTCCTGCAGGCCCTGTGGCCCAGCAGGCTGAGCGGGCTCCCTCGATTCTGAGAACACTGCTCCTCCTATCCTCCCTCCAAAGAAGCTGCAAGCCCATCCTGGGAATGACACACTTAGGGCAGGGGAAGTCCTATGGCTGAGCTTCCTGTGTCCCCAGGGTGTGACTTAGTCAAGCTTTCCATGGTGAATGGAGCTGGTCGTGAGAAAGGGCCCTGGGCTATGCTAGGCTAGAAGAATCCAGGGAATCCCAGGGCCAGCTGCCGTACCTCAGTCCCCACACTCACAGTCCTGGCCCGACACAGCCGCCTTCCCCTCCCAGTCTAGCCCTCATTCCCCTAGGTTGGGCCCTCCTTACATTTTGCGGAAACATGGTAGCCACCCAGGGGGGCTGGGTGACCCTCGGCAGCATCAAACCCAGCCGACACCAAGACCAGGTCCGGAGAGAACTCTCTGGCAATGGGCATCACGACTATCCTGTGAGGGTGCGAGAAGGAGGGCTCACCACACTGTAGCCTTCTGGGCAGAGGCCAAGGGCCCCCACTGGTGCCAGCCCTCTCTACCACCTTTACTGTGGGGCACCCTGCTGTTAGGACTCCAAGATACCCAATCTCCCAGAAGGATTAATGGATCCCTCTGACTTCCTTATTTTTTTAAAATCCTCACCTGAGGATATTTTTCCCATTCATTCTTAAGAGAGTGGGAGGGAGAGAGAGGGAGAAAGAAACATCAACATGAGAGACACATCAATTGGTGGTCTCCTGCCCACTTGAGCCCCAACAGGGGGCGAGGTCAAACCTGCAACTAAGTTATGTGCCATTGACCAAGAATCAAACCTGCAACCCTTTGGTCAATGGGCCAACACTCTAACCACTGAGCCAAACCGGCCAGGGCCCCTCTCACTTCTTTGACCTTAGCTTTTGCACAGGGATGTGCCATTACCCTGACATAGCCTAAGGGCTCAGCCACCAAGTGTGCTCAACTGGAACAAGGCAGGAAGGAGCCAATGGGGTACCAGAGGGGATGAAAGAAGAGTGTGTGTGTGTGGCTATAGAGTGCAGTGGTCAGAGCCACAAGAAAGGTACAGGTCACTAAGCCTCAGGGACTAGAAATACTCGGTACTTAGTTGCCACCACACCTTGCCACTCACCACCTAAGAGCTGACTAGGGTGACTAGACTCTGAGATCCTGGGCTACCCAGATGTACTCTCTCCTCCTCAGCCCCTGCCAACCCCCACAGCTGCCTCCCTCCAACCCTGACCCACCTCTAGGGTCCATTTTGGTGTCTTTCAAAGCCCTGGGCTATGGGCAGGGCTTTTACAGAATTAGCTCTCATGGAAAATATCTCCAGGAAAGTATTTGGAGACCTACTTCCAGATTTCCTTTTCCCAAATGGAGTGGTAGAGCCCCAGAAAGAAATATATAAAGGCTCTTGAACAAGAGCCCAAAGCTGCTCTTCTAGAATGGCTTTTCCTAAGCAGTTCCCCCAGTATGGACATCATCTTTCTCTGCAATTTAAATTTCTCACCTTCTGCACAAAGCCCACCTCCTCCAGGCAGCTTTCTTGGACTGAATGTCTGCTCTGCTCACTCCACCTGCCTGTCTACCAGCACTCAGTTCAACATTGGCTCTTGGTAACAAGTGCCTTTACAAAGTACCCTTTGACTATTTCATTCTATTTCCTGTCTTTGCACTGGAACTGGAGGCTACTAGAGGCCAGTATAACAGTGCTGTTGCTTTTGTTTGCCTCGGGCTGGCTTATAATGTCTGGTGATTGAATGAGGACAGGCTGACAAACCAACGGATTGCCTCCAACCTGGTGCTGCTGGGAAAAAGGGCAGGAAAGGGTGGCCTTGATGGGCTAGGCCTCAGAGCACTTACCTGAAAGCAGCCAGGTACTCAGGATCCCCCATTGGGGGATCCAGACCTCCGGCCCAGGCCACGTTAACGTTGAAGCCCTCACCGCTGCCAGCTCCCACCTGGAAAACAGGACGCAAGAGAGACATGAGGAGAGCAGAGTCCCAGGAGAGGAATGCCAGGATGTTAGCTCTGCAAGACCAGCTCATATACCCTCTTCACTTTCAGATGGAGAAACAGGATCAGAGAGGCTAAACAATCTATTCGGGATCACACAGCTACTTGTAACAGAGGCAGAGTAAGGGTCACGAGAGAGAGTCAATGGGGCTGGAAGAGGTAGACCCGACACGTGGTTACCTCCTCCACAGCCCCGCTGCCCGGGAAGAAGTTGCCATCGTCATGGCGATGCAGGGAGATGTAGAGCACACTGGGGTCCTCGTAGAAGGTGTGCTGGGTGCCATTGCCATGATGAACATCCTGTGGGAGATGGGCAGTGGATCAGAGAGATGGAGGCGGGAGCAGGTTGGAAGGGTTCTGAGGTTAGTGACCAGTCTGAGGGTCAGGACCCTAGACGGGGTGAGGAAACTGGAGTTCCTAGAGCAAAACTATTGAGTGGCCCCAAGTAATCCATGGGCCCTCTCTGAGCCTCAGTCTCTGCATACATGCAGAGATGTGTATATAACATGCTGAATGGGGGTGTTTATGAGACCCTGAAGGGGAGGAAGCATGCCAAGGGCAGACCTGACCGTGAGGGAGTGTGTGGGAGTGGATTAGTGGAGGAGAGGGACGAGTCCAGGATGATATATCAGAAAATCTCACTATTGTGTCTTGTCCAAGGTCATGGAATGATGCAGGTGATGAGAAACAAGCTCAAGGACAGAGGGGCAGGTACGTGAGGCCCACCGCCATCCATCCTAGGGAAAGCTGTGGCTCTGCAGTCGGTAGCTCACAGGACCATGCATGGGTGCACGTGTGGAAAACTCCTCTACTGTCCTCAGCTTCTGTACAGGCATGTCCCAATCACAGGTGTCAATGCAGAGTGGGGCAGCTTATACTTAGATGCACGTACACTAGCACTAACCAACGGGTTTCAAATCCGGCTCAGGACAGACTAGGCGCATGGCTGTGTGCAAGTTACTTAACCTGTCTGTGCCCACTTCCTTTGTCTGAAAACCAGGTTACAGTCAGGAATAAATACGTCACATGTAAAACCCATCAGTGTCCGGATGTGATTAGTGGAATGTTAATGTTATCTGCTGTTACTATTATTGTCACTATCTATAGGGGAAATGCAGAAATTAAAGCCGCAGAAAGAAGCCAACAGAGGCCAAAAGACAGCACTCAAATGGTTCCTTCCTCCCATTGTGGGAGTCAGTTATGGCTGAAGGCCTTCCCATATACTGTCTTCTCCCACCTTTTATACATGGGGGAAACGGAGGCTCACGAGGCCAATGTAGAACTAGGACATGAAGCCACATTTCCTGATGCCAGGCTCAGAACTCTTTCCACAGGGCTCTGGGTCTGAAGGGGCTGGGCACCAGGACATACCCAGTCCACGATGAGGATCCGGCTGGCCTTGCCCTGTTGCTGCAGCTGCCGGCAGGCGATGGCCACGGAGTTGAAGAAGCAGAAGCCCCTGGGAGGAGGAAAGGGAAGTGCTGACAGCCCATCCTGCTGCGCCTCCACCTGTCCGGCCTCCCGTCTCTACCCGCTCCTGGCCTGGTCCAGCCCCCAAAGGCTCATCCCACCTAGGCCTTCCCCAGACCTTACATGGCTGTGGAACGGTCCGCATGGTGTCCTGGGGGCCGAACCACAGCAAAACCGTTCTGGAAATGGAAAGAATGCTTATCAACTGGAGGGCCAGCCCTCTGACCCCATCTCCATAAACATGCCCCCAGCCCCAGCTCCTCCCAGAACCAGGATGGTCTGAAGTGCCCAGTACTCAGCCCCCAGGCTTGGCATCCTCTGCTTTCAGGCTGGATGTGAACAGAGAAACCCCTGCCTGGTGTGTCCTGGCTGTTAGCACTTCGTAATAACAGCTGTTTGTTGGGCCAAAACTACGTGCCTGGCACGGTGCTGAGCTCTTTATAAACACTGGACTTCATCCTCATAACATCTCCATGAGATAAATATTATTATTAGCTCTAGTTTACAGACAGGAGAAATCTGAAGTTTAGGTGGGTTAAGCAATTTGTGCAAAGTTGCCTGGTTGTCAATGGTGGAGCCAGAATTCTAAACCCAATTCTGTGCCCTTAACTGCAAAGGCCCACCAAAGGGCTTTGACACTGAGGACACCGTGACCACCATGGGCTGAGCTCCTAAACAACGGGGTGGGGGGAGGTGGACCGCAGGACAAGCCCCTGTAAGGTGTCCAGCCCAGGTACCAACCCAGTCTATAAAACTTCAGCACTGCAGGGGGAGCCCGGCCGGTGTGGCTCAGTGGTTGAGCATCAACCTATAAATCAGGAGGTCATGGTTCAATTCCCGGTCAGGGCACGTGCCTGGGTTGCAGGCTTGATCCCCAGTAGGGGGCATGCAGGAGGCAGTTACATTGATGTTTCTATATCTCTACCCCTCTCCCTTCCTCTCTCTCTAAAAATCAATTAAAAAAAACACACAAAAAACTTCAACACTGCAAAGAAACAATCTGCCAATGCATGGAGGTCCAGAGACCCCTGCAACTTGCCTACAGTCACACATTGGGTCTATGTTAAATGATCCTGGGTGATCATGACCTGTGTCTCTTAGAGACCAAAGGCCCAGGGTCACAGTGGTGGACTCCCTACCAAGTAACATGAACCTATGGTTCAAACCTCATTTTGGTCCCCAGAGCTCTTGATTCCCCTTCCAAAACCCTGTGGTGCTATCCAAGAGAAATGAGATGTTGGGGCCCTGGGTCTGGGCCCCCGGCTGCCTCATTCTGCTCCCTCCTTCCGTGGCTTGCCCACCTTCAACCCAGATGTCTTACCTTCAGCTCGCGGGAAGCCACTTTGAAGGCCAGATCGGTTACGCTGCCGGCGGCCCAGCGGGCTGCATTGGAGGAGTGCAGCTCGTTCCAGATGGTGTCAGTATCCACCTGTGGGGGCCAGAGTCAGGGCCCGCATCATCCAAGGCTTCCCACGGGAGGCAGGGCCCATGGGTGGTGCCCACCCCATGGCCAGGACCCCAGGGGCAGGGAGCTGGGCAGACAGTGCTGCCTCCCCAGTGCCCCACCGCCCAAAGGCAAGGCCTCCTGTATCCCCCAGTCCCAGCATGACGTCTCCTTCCCAGCTTCAGTCCACATCACCAGCCCGTATGGGGCCAGCACTGCGCTGGCAGCATGGCGCCTGCCTCCCCGGTCAGAGGAGGGGGCATGGCGTTACCTGGGCGGGACTTGGGGTTTGGGCCTGGAGGGGGTTTTAAGCCCCAGCTGGCTCTGCTCAGGCCCTGCGGGACGTCGGAGCTCGAGGGGCCGTCTGCACCACTGTCTTCCACTCAGGGCCCCTAGCCCAGGCTGGGAGGCCCCCCAAACCCAGTCCCTGGGCCTCAAGGCTAGGGAGGGGCCGGGGGGCATGATGGGGAGATGGGGAGGGCGAGGCGAACCAAGAGAGGCGAGGAAGGCAGAGAGAGTCTCAAGAGGCTGGAGAAAGAGAGAGAGACAGAGAGAGAGGGAGAGGAGGGAGGAGAAAACAGAAGCAAAAACAGTTGGAAAAATCAGAAAGTGGCAAGAAATGGGAAGTTGTGAATAGGGCGCTGACTGGCTCCCAACAGTCCCCCCAGCTAAGCTCCCATTTCCCTCCAGAACCAGGCCTCCATCCCCTGCCTCCACACACCAGCCGGGCAACCACTGTGGGGACCTTTTAGGCAAGGCGGGCACTGCTAGGGAGGCAGGAAGCCCCCCAAGCAGTGTGAGGAGGGAGGGAGGAAGGTGGGGAGTGGGAGGGAAGTGCCTGAGTCCCCAAGGACACGAGGCACCCACAGTCCCAGCCCAGCCAGCCCCGACTCTGCCTGGAGGCTCTGCCTGGGGGCTCTGCCTGGGGGCTCTGCCTGGGGGCTCACTCGGGTGAATAGCCAGTCCCAACCCCTGGGGTCTTATGAAGGGATGATCTTGGCCCTGCTCTCTGAGCCTCACTCGACATTTACCAAGCACCTTCTAAGTGTGAGGCACAGGCTCCACACTTAGGAGATATTGGTGGGCTGAGGACACACTGGTCCACAAAGCGCTTCTAGCCAGCAGAAGGGCATTATGGGAAAGTCTCTGGCCCGCCGGGTCTGGCAGAACCACAAGAACAAGCAGGCAGGGTGGGGCCTGGGGGAATGGAAAGGAGACCTGAGAGCCCGCGGCACTGCCTGCTCGAGAACCCCGGGCACACTTACCCCAACCCCACCACAGGGCAGCATCACAAATATCCGCTGTGCCAGGAGCCCTGTGGAGAGAGGCCGGGTGTGTGTGAGCTGAACCCTCACAGCCTCTGGCCTGGCCAGGACACAGGGAGGCCCTGGAAAGAGAGCCAGGGTGGGTGCACAGGCGAGGGGATGGGCAGCAGAGGGGCCGGGGAGGCGTGGGGATGTCAAGGATGCTAGGGGGACAGGCTGGCAGAGCTGGGACAGGAGAGACTTGGGACGGGGAGGCAAGGTGAGCCAGGGGAGGTACGAGGGTCCCAGACACCACTGGGCCCTACCTGCCAGCTTCCCGTTGTCCAGTTTGAGGCGGCTGAGCGGGTTGGTGCCGTAGAGGTGCACGTGCCGCTCGGAGTGCACCGACTGTAGCTCCTCCAGGGAGGCCTTCCGGCCTCGGAGACACTGAGGAAGGGCCCCCGGAGCTCCTGAGGCCCTGCTTGCCCCCTTCCCTGCCATACCACCACCCGCCTCCTCCATCGCATGCTGGCTCTAGGCCCTCGGCCCTTTCCCTTCCATTACTCTTACCTCCCCGATGCCACAGCGCCCACCCGCCTCCTCCATCGCATGCTGGCTCTAGGCCATCGGCCCTTTCCCTTCCATTACTCTTACCTCCCCGATGCCACAGCGCCCACCCGCCTCCTCACCTCACACTGGCCTCGGAGGCCCCGCTCCTGCAGCCGGGACCAGATGCTCTGGATGCGGCCCGCGTGCTCCGGGTGCCTGCTGTTGTCTCCACAGGAGCACTGGTGCTTCAGCATAACCGAGTCATACACCAGCCCTGGGGGGCACGGGGGTCAGAGCCAGGACCCCAGGGAGTCCCCAGTGCCCCCCCCCCCCACATGGAACCAGGCTTGGCACACACACCCCACACCCCATCCTACACCTTGGCCCTTCCCACGAATTCACACTCCCGGCTGCTTACCCAGGCAGCCTCACCACCTCACATGCACACCAACACGGCCCCATCTTCCTGACACACCAATCCTTCTCACATGGCCACTACCTTTCCACAACATCAAGAACTCAGAGCCTGCCCTAACTGGTGTGGCTCAGTGGATAGAGCGTCAGCCTGCGGACTGAAGGGTCCCAGGTTCGATTCTGGTCAAGGGCATGTACCTTGGTTGCGGGCACATCCCCAGTAGAGGGTGTGCAGGAGGCAGCTGATCGATGTTTCTCTCTCATCAATGTTTCTGACTCTCTCTCCCTCTCCCTTCCTCTCTGTAAAAAATAAATAAAATATATTAAAAAAAAAAAAAAGAACTCAGAGCCTAACAAAGGGAGGCCCGATGTTGGGGTCTCACACTGGATGTCTTGACTCACATAGGAGGAGCCAGAGGAGAAAGAATTCCACAGAAACTCCAAAACTGGGAGCTGGGAAGCCCAGAGCGACACGCGGCCATGTGACAAGACAGATGCGGTTTTGGGGAGTGTCTGTTTCAGCTTGATCAGCGAACACCTAGGAAGGCCCTGTGCACTGCCAGTGGGACAGTCCCTTTCAGCAAGTCTAGGATGTCAGGGTCTTCAGAATTCTCACACTACTGGACCCATAGATGCCACTCCCTGAGACTGACGCAGGGATGAATGAAGGTTTAGGTACGAGGAAATTCAAATGAGGAAAAACAAGTAACCGTCTAACTGCCCAACCAGTAAGAAATCTATATAATAAAAGCCTAAGCAACCATATGGGGGAACGACCAGGACGACTGGTTGCTATGATGCGCACTGACCACTAGGGGGCAGATGCTCAATGCAGGAGCTGCCCTCTGGTGGTCAGTGCGCTCCCACAGGGGGGAGTGCCGCTTAGCCAGAAGCTGGGCTCACAGCTGGCGAGTACAGCAGCAGTGGCGGGAGCCTCTCCCACCTCCACGGCAGCGCTAAGGAGCAGCGAGCCCAGTGGTAAGGAGCAGCGAGCAGGCGGGAGGTAAAGAGAGAGGGGTCCTGGACTGAAAGAGGGTGCAGGCCAAGCTGAGGGACCCCTGGGCACTAAATAAAAATAAAGTACTATGATGGGACACTATAAAAACCTCATTTCTGAAGATTGATTATATCATAAAGTATTTGTAATATGTTAACTGAATAAAGCGGGGTACTGTGTCTGTGGTACATGTGGTGTTGTGTGTGGTGTGTGTACAGACGACCAGGACAAGGACAGAATCGAGCAGTGTTTAAGAGTGGCTACCTCTGGGTGGGGGGATACTGCTTGTTGATTTTTATGCTTTTTCTGCATTTTTCAAAACTTCTAAAATGCCTTTTTAAAAAAGAAAGTACTTTTTATTGATTTCAGAGAGGAAGGGAAAGGGAGAGATAGAAACATCTATGATGAGAGAGAACCATTGATTGGCTGCCTCCTGCACGCTCCCCAACTGGGGACCGAGCCTGCAACCCAGGCATGTGCCCTGACCGGGAATCAAAGTGTGACCTCCTGGTTCATAGGTCGATGCTCAACTATTGAGCCACACCGGCCGGGCAAAACTTCTAAAATGCTTTTGAGCTCTTTCTCCAAGCAGAGCAAAAACAATGATGTCATTTTTGAAAGGCCTGAACTAGCTGTCAGGAGCTCCTGGCAATTGTTAGCCCGCTCTGACTGCCAGCTTGCTATTTGACCACAAGCTTGTCACCTTAGATTTCCCGAGCCTGGCCTTCTCGTGTGTAAAACGAGAACCACCACCTATCCCCCTGCTTCACAGATGCTGTGTGGGTCTCACGAGACCAAGAAAGTGTGCTGTGGCCTCGTCCTGAGTGGTACTGTGACGCAGACATGGACCCGTGCCCCAGCCTCTGTGGGTCCCAAGCCCTTCCTTCTGCCCCAGGCTAATCCAGGACTTACCTGTGGTGAAGGGCAGGGTCCTGGCGGGGGCCTCTGAGCTGGGCAGGACACGGGCCTGGTTGGGGGGCTCTGGCGTTGGCAGCGAGGCAGGTGCAGCTGGGGATGACTGAGTCCTAGACAGGAGCCGGTGACCGCCCTGGGCCGGGGAGAGCAGCACAGAGTCCCCAGTGCCTACCCGCGGCAGCCGTCCGGCCAGTCGCTGCTGCTCCCAGAGGAACACCTGCGGGACACAGGGGCCTCAGTCTCCAGGTTCTCAGGATCCTGCTCCCTGTGCTTCTGCCCAACACCTCGGAAACCTCCAAACAGGCCCCCTTTTCTGCTGTGATTCCAGGGATGAGGCCTCTAGTCTTGCCTCCCAGCCAGGCTCCGGCCTTTGACTCTAAGCTCCCTGCTCCCACTAGCCCCCAAAGGTCTGCACCTCAGACTGACCGGCCCATTCCCCCGAGCTCCCTGGGCCCTCGGGACTCCAAAGCCAGAACCCAGGTGAGGGATCTCAGGGACAAGGACCGTGCACCTGCCCGAGGACATGGGGACCTGCGTGAGCCACTGTTACCACATCTGATGGGCCCACTCATATTGATGAAGGAAATCCTAACCCCTGGTACCTTGGAATGTGGCCTTAATTGGAGACAGGGTGTTTACAGAGGTAACCAAGGTAACGTGAGGTCATTAGAGTGAGCCTTAAACCACGACTCTTGTCCGTATAAAGAGGAGGAATGGGGATACAGACATGGACGGAAGGAAGACAATGTGAAGACACAGGGAGAGGACAGTCGCCTACGAGCTGAGGAGAGAACTGGAGCAGCTCCTTCCCTCACATCTCAGAAGGACCCAATCCTGCCAACACCTGGGTTTCAGACTTGTAGCCTTCAGAACGGAGGCAACGCATTGCTGTTGCTTCAACTGCCCTGTGTGTAGTACTTGCGACAGCAGCCCTAGCAAATGCTTACCCCGTGGCTTGATCACACGGTGGGAGTGCTGGTTAGCGTGCTTGAGCCTGGCTCTGCCCCACTTCCTGCCCTAGCTACCTTCCTGGAAACAGTACAACTGGTCCCGGACAGAAGTACCAGGGGAGGCATGTGTATGGCTCCATCAAAGGCTAGTCCCACTGCTGGACAAGGGACATGCTTCACCCGGAGCCTGGCAGGCTGGCTGGAGTGCACGTCTAAGTGAAAGTGTGCCTGCATGCCTATGTGCACCGCATGTGCATGTGTGTGTGTGGATCTGGCGGACACCGTGGGTCTCAGAGCTGTTCCCTGCACTGACATCCTATCTCCCTCCCTTCGTCTATGCCAGGCCCCCGCGTTAACTGACTACACCTCTGAGGGGTACGCGGGCACTGCCATACCTGCTGGTGCTGCTGGAGAACAGGGCCTCTGGCTTCATGCTGCCCCGAGCTCGACCCCCTGCATGCCAGGCTGTCATCCCCCGGGGGCCCCACTCCCCCACCATCCGTCTCCAGGTCCTCAGCCGAGGGTATCTGCCGTAGTCGGGGCTTCTCACTCGGCTTGGCTGACCTCTGAGGAGGGAAGATGCCCGCTGAGAAGCCATACTGGAGCGTGGAGTGTGGGGTGGGACGTGGTGGGCTGGGTGGCCATTGATTTGGCTGGGCAGCCACTGGCCAAGTAGCTCTCGGCGCTCCAGATCCCTGCCCTTCCAAACCCTCCCTTCTTCTCTCAGCACCCGTGGGCCCAGTGAAGCAACCCCTACCACCTCCCCTACCCCGTTCCCCTCACCTTGATCAGCTGGACGTGAGGGTTGAGCCGCTCCAGGCGGGGCTGCAGGGGGCCCAGTGATGGGGGGGCGGTGGCGCTTGGGGGCAAAGGCTCTGAGCGGGTCCGGCTCAGCGGCCAATGGAGGCCTGACCCAGAGAGCCGCTCGGTGGTCAGTAAGGACTGGGCAAAGTGGAAGGGCAGGGGCCCAAACCCGGGCACTGGAAAGAACGTGGGGGGTGGCATCAGGGGGGAGCCATGGAGAAGAATGGAAAGAAGCAAGGGCATGGGTGGGGGCAGAGACTCAGCAGGGAGATGCACAGCAAGATGGAGCAGTGGAGGGGGCAGCCCTTACCAGGGTGTCGGAATCCACCCCTCCCCTGGGGAAGCAGCAGGACTCACCAGTCAGCAGGGGGGTGTGAGAGACTGAGGGATCCAGGAGGAGAATGGGCTGCAGACGAGAGGGCATGGTGCCCCCAGCCTCGGACTCCAGGCCATGGGGCAGGAAGAGGGGAGCATGGGGGCTCCCTAGGACTGGCCCCCGAGGGCCCAGAGTTGGATGGATCCTGCGGTCACCGTCAGCCTGGGGGAGAGGCGGGAGGAGTCACAGGGGAGCAGGCTCCAGCAGAGAGAACAGTGAAGGCTACGGGTGAGGCAGCAGGAGAAGGGAGTAAAGGAAGCTGGGGAGCTTGGCAAGGGGGAGGGCGCCTCAGCCACTCACCCTGGCAGGGGCGGGCAGCCCCAGTGTGATTGCGGGCAGCAAGGACACTGTCGGCAAGGCGAACGGGGCCAGAGAGGTCTCCTGCCTCCGCAGCCGCTGGCCCAAGAGCGCCTGCCATGGGGAGCAGGGCAGGGGTCACTGGTCCCAGACCTCCACCCCTGGGGACGCCTTCCCCAGAACACCCAGCCCAGCAGCCCAGCAGCCCAGCAGCCCCAGGGCCCCTGCTGAGAGGAAGAATGAGCCTCAGAACTGCCCCTGAGGGCCTTACCTCCGAGCCCAGGATGGGGTTGGGGCCGTGCTCGCTGTCATTGGGAGAGCTGCACCCTGACGCAGGTGTGCTGCTACTACTGGGGGAGGAGTCTGGGGAGCAGGGGGGTGGGGGGGGAGAGGGAGGCACAGTCAGAGGCCAGGCAGTAGCCAGTAGCCAAGAGGGCCGCCTCTGCTTCCTGCTTTCCTCCCAGAAGGGCAGGCCGCCACTAGTCTCCAGGGCCTTTGCACACTTTTTAAGGCAATTCTTCTGGGCAGCTTAGCCAACAGAGCAGAGGCTGGCTTTCAGCCCCAACTCACCCCTGGCAAGTGTGTAGGGCACACCCTGTACAAGCACCCATGGTAACCCTGAGGAGGGGACCCATCTTGGTGGGACCTCACCCAAAAGGACAAGATCAGTCACCCCTGCCTGCGCCCGTGCCCCGCTGCTGGCCCTCACCTCCGAGGGTCTCGGCAGGCCGCCGCCGGAGGCTGGGAGGGGCGCTCTCCTTTCTGAGCAGCGGATTCTTCCTCCGCTCCAGGGACTTCTTGGGCTTGTAGCGCAGCTTCAGGTTGGGCTCAGAGACTATGGGAGCACCAGCATTACTTGGCCCCACACCCACCCTCCTCCCCTCTGCCCATTAGCCCTCCCTCCCAGTCGTCCCAGTTCAAGGCTCTCCCCCTAACTCGTGAAGGGTCCCTGCCTGCCTGTCCCACTCACCTGTCTTACGCAGAGGGTGGTGTTCTGGGGGGTCACTGGGCAGGCTGGGGACAGGAGGCAGGAAGCTGCTGAGCATGGAGCGGGTGGCTCCTTCCGTCTCCAAGGGCTCGAGAGTCCTGTGGGGTGAGTGCCAAGGCTGCTTCAGTGGGAAGAGGGTGCTCAGAGGCCTGGCCGCAACCTCACTCCACAGAGGCCCCTTCCTCAGCACGGCCACCGGCCTGGCCAGGGGAGGTGGCAGCCAGCAGGGGGGGCGGGGTGGGACTGGCAGGAACAGGGGCCATCTGCAGGTGGCAGCATCGGGCCACCCACCCTACCAGCAGCCAGGGTCCCAGACACATTGGGGACCGTCTCCCCTGAGAAGAACCTGCTCTAGGAACCAGGGTGCTTTTGTGCTTAGGGGAGACACAGAAAAGAGAAGGGACTTGTGTGGAAGAAGAAAGCCTGTGTGGGTGGGTGTGTGCACAAAGATGGAAGCCTCAGGTGGGGGTGGGGAGGTAACTAAAGAAGAGAGGAGGGCAGGTGTCAGTTGGGAGAGGGGACTGGGGCAGGTATTACTAAGGGAGGTGAGGCATAAGGATCAGGTGATAAGCAGCTGGGAGAGGGTAAATGAGTGCTCACAGGTGGACTTATAGGGAGGAGAGGGCATGGCAGGGACAGGAGGGAACAGGTAGGAGAGAGCGTTACCTGTAGGGAATGCTGGGGCTACTGGGATGGACTGTCCTCTCTAAGGCTGCCTGCTGTTTCTTCAGAATCACCTCTGCCAACTTCTGCTTGACTACACTGCTGGCCACAGCGCCTGCGTGGGGGCGGGGGGGGGGACCATGAGTGGGGCTGGAGTGGGTGGACAGGTGGCCTGCCTGCACATTTTCTGCCCATTGCCTTTCCACACCCCTAGTATAGTACGAGGTGTCCCAGGATTCCTCAGGCAAGAGCCAAGCCCGAGGCCCCACCTCAGACACCACCCCCATTTCTACCCCACCTACATTCACAGACAGAGCCCAGCAAGCAGAGGGCGACCTGAGCTGGCGTCGCTACCACCTCAGCCCTTCTGTGCCCAGGTGGGTGGGCCATGGACACAGGCAGGAGGCCTCCATCCTTACTTCGCTTGCTCTTGTCCTTATTGAGAAGCTGCCGCAGCTCTTGCTCCTGCTGCCCCACCGGCAACTCGGGCATCTGCGTGTCCATGGAGAGCTGTGGGCAGGGCTGGCCGCCCAGGAAGGGGCAAGGAGTTAAGGACTGAGACAGGGTCTGGGGGGAGGCTGAAGGGAGAGAGGGGGTTTGGGGGTTGAGCTCCTATCTTTACCCTCATGGGCTCCACCGAGCGATGCTGCTGCAGGCCTGCCAGGAAGAGGTGGTGGTGCAGGTGCTGGGGGTGCTGCAGGGCCAGCAGCGCGGGCTCCAGTGGGGGCTCCACTGGGGGCCGCTGGCCCACCCGCAGGTCCATAGGCTGGGGCTGAGGGCCTGGCGTGTCTGCGTGGGGCCTGGGGCAACCTGAGGACACACAGAAAGGAAGCAGAGTCAGCTGAAAAGTCTGTATGCAGGGGCAGGTTACAGCCTCATGGCCTCCTTCAGGCTCACTTGACTCAAAATAACAAAACATGCTCTAGGGATGGGGTGGGCAACCCCTGGCACGCGTGCCAAACATGGCACGCCAATAACTTTTGCTGGCACGCAAAACCCTCTCTTATAATCTTCCATTTACAATTTTTTTCTTAATATTGACTTCATTTTTCAGATAAATTCAGTGTAGGTGCATCTTAGATCAATAATTTTACATAACATGTATACATTAAAAAATAAATGTATTTTTCATCATCATATACTGTGTTTTTGTCGCTCGAATGAATTTTATTATTTCTTCAAGGTTCTTCACATACGTACACCTTAAGAGATATCAAGGAGGCGTAACATGTTCTCAAAAAATTAGGGTTGGCACGCAGAAGAATTTTGAGTCAGAGATTTTGCTGGTTTGGGCACGCACGCACAAAAAGGTTGCCCACTCCTGCTCTAGGGGCCTTTTCTTCACTCCATCCTCACCACGGTCCTAGAAGGTAGGTATTTTCAACTCCATGTCACCCATGAGTAAGGAGGTGATCTCAACTGTCCATGGTTAGTCTATCGCTTGTGGGGTTCGAATTGAGCCTCTACTTTTCCACTAAAAGGCGGGAGGCTGGGGTTGTGGGGACCTAGAAACAGCTGAGAGCCCTTTGGTGGTACATTCTGGGCCTTGCTTTCTCCTTCCCTTCTGCCCACCTGGAATGAGGATTTGACCCAGGTGCCCGCAATGAGCTGTGCTCAAAGACAGAGATCAGACAGGTGCACAGCGCGCCCCCGCCCCCCATTCAGCCTCCAACCCCAAAGGGCTTCAAAGGCCCTCTCAGTCACCACCCTCCCTACTCCACCGCAGGCCATAGGATAAAGAAGCGATGCCTCGCCCTGGCCAGTGTGCTCAGTGGTTAGAGTGTTGGCCTGAGGACTGAAGGAAAGGGTCACAGGTTCGATTCCAGTTAAGGGCATGTACCTTGGTTGCAAGTTTCCCAGCCCCGGTAAAGGCCCATGTATGAGGCAGCCAATCACTGTGTCTCTCTCACATAGATGTTTTTCTTCTCTTCTCTCTCTCCCTCCTCCCTTCCACTCGCTCTAGAAATCAATGGAGAAAACATCTTCAGGTGAGGATTTTTTTTAAAAAATATATCTTATTGATTTTTTATAGAGAAGAAGGGAGAGGGATAGAGAGTTAGAAACATCGATGAAAGAGAAACATCGATCAGCTGCCTCCTGCACACCCCCCACTGGGGATGTGCTCGCAACCAAGGTACATGCCCTTGACCGGAATCGAACCTGGGACCCTTGAGTCCGCAGGCCGACGCTCTATCCACTGAGCCAAACCGGTTAGGGCTCAAATGAGGATTTTTTTAAAAAAGAAGCAGTGCCTCAAACCTGCAGCCAAGCTCTGGCCACCACCCAGGGGCTGCACAGCCCATGTGCCCCTGGAGCCTGCTCTCGGGTGCCCTCCCGCCAGGTCGGGGCCTGCAGTGGTGAGGACACGACTCAGGTGCCTCTTCTCAAGTGTCCTCTGCACCCACGCCAGGAGCACCCTGCCAAGCCTGTGGGTGCGGGGGCTATTTATAACTAGCTGCCGGACCAGGTTCTCCACCAGCACAGCCAGCTGAGCCAGGTTGGGCTGAGCAGCCGGAGATGCTCCCGGAGAAGTGGAGGCAGGTCGGGATGGGAGCAGGTGCCCTCAGAGCACACAGCGCTGAAACCTTTCTGGAGAGGCCTGCTTCGGCTCCTCCAGTGCTGAGCCATCCCCATCAGGGCAGCCCCAGGCTGTCCCCGGGGCCAGAGGCTGTCAGGAGCTGAAGGCACTGTGGCAAAGCACCAGCCAGGGAGTCGGGAAACACGGCCTCCAGGCCCAGCTCAACCATTACTGGTCACTGTCCTAGCCTCTGTAGCACATGTGCACATGTGGCTGCAAAACCTTCTCACCTCATCACTACCATAGGCCCTGGGAGGTGGCTGTTACTCTTCTCTTATCCCAAATAAGGAAATTGAGGCTCAGGTAAAGGCCACCCAGCTCCGAGCAGACTGGGAGCATGGGTTCCGGTCCTGCCGAGGCCAGTGTTCCAGCTCCGCTCCCCCAGTGACTCTCAGCAAGTTGCCGCCCCTGGTGGGTGTTTCTCACTGGGCACAGAGGAGGGGCCTACAGGAGGCTGAGGCTAAGGAGCAGCTGCTGTAACATTCTCTCACCACGAAAAGGCAGAGAGAGGGGCAGAGCAGGTGTCAGGAGACCAGAAGGGATGGCTGAGCACCCAGATGCAGCCCGTGACTGGCAAAGCACAGCTTTGATTCCCGGACCCCTTGTTCATGCATGCATCCAGGGAACCCGGTCATTCTGGTTGAGTATGGCCTCCAATGCCAACACACTCCTGTCCCAGGAAGGGTCTCTGTCCTTCCTCATCTGGTGTCCTGGCTTCCTGGGGTGACTCACCTGGTGATGCAAGAGGACTTGCAGCTGTGGCTTCGGCCACACACAGACCATGGACAGCCCTATCCCTCACTCCCAGCACCTCCAGGGTCCAGAGCAGAAGTCTTCTGGAAATGGCTCTGCCTAAAACCCTGGGAACGGCTTGCAGGGGGATTCAGCATGTGCAGGTCTGAACCGTCTGGTGCTAACCCTGCTTTTTTCATCTTTTCTCCTACATCTGAACATAAATCCTCCATCTCAGCCATCGGTTCCCATCCTGTCACAAGCCCATGTGTCTTTGTCCTCTGGGTTTTGCTTACAATGCCCCCCTCCTGGTGCTGTCCTCACCCTTTAATTCTACTTTTCTAGGTCCCACCCACCCTTCCAAGCCCAGCTAGAATCTTCCCTCTTCTCTCCCCTGGACCCAGCCCAGTGCCACATGGATTTCAGTGACATTGACAGTTCTGTGCCCCACAAGCACTGCGTGGTCTGAGGGAAGCCCCAATGGCAGGGACTTGGTTTTGCTTATTGCTCCCTATCCCAGAACCTAGAACAGTGCCCAGGACATGCTAGGCATCCAATAAACACTGGTTGAATCAATAAATAAATCTGTTCCCCTCCAACCCCCAAAAATGCATAGGAAGGTGCCGCTGGCACAGAGATGGGGTTAATTTTTCTTTTTCCAATTTCTATATTTAATTTTTAGAAAATTACACATCTATGAAGACTGAATAATAATAGACGGTGAATTTAATGTTTCTTGAATGAATGGATCAACACATTAACCAGACGTCCCCTCATTTGGCACTGGTCACATACTGTAGTCTGCTATTACTTTTCTTTCTTTGTGTCCTATCTCCCCAGCCTCCCTGTAAGCTTTTGGACAGCCAGGACGGATGCAAAGAGGACACCCGGCCCTCAATTCTCCCTGCCATGTGTAATATTCGGCATCAGGTATGCAGGCAGTAGGTCCTCAGTGGATACTGGCTGAAGTAGGGAGCCCTCATCCAGCCCCAGCCCCAGCCTCAGCCCACAGGCATGTCCTAACCAGAGCAGCAGCAGGAAGTCCACTCCCTCCTTGCTCAGCACAGCCTACTCGTAACAGGAGGCAAGGGAGATGAGAGAGCCAGGAAGAGGGGTCCCTCCCCTCCTACCTGAGCAGCACAAGGCATCCTCCATCTTGCAAGAGCTGCCATGCCCTTGCAGAGCTGGTGCGAGGACAGAACGAGCCAACAACCGAGAACATGAGCCCGACGGGAGGCAGGGGCCTGAGTATAAATATGAGCTTCCTACTTGCCTTCCTGTTTCACCGCATCCTGCCTTTCCTCTTCCTGTCGTGCTTCCTAGCGCTGGGGCTGGCCTGGATCCAGAGTGGCCTCTTTATCTCCACTCCTCACCCTTTTCCCATGCAACCCCAATTCACCCCCTCCCCCAGAACCCCAACCTCCTGATTCTCTGGCAGATCAGCCAGCTCCCCTGCCCAACCACTGCTCAGCTACTCGCCCTCCTCATGTCCTTTCCACCCTCAGCTCCCACTTCCCACCCAGTCTCCCTCAGGATGCTTACCTGTGCCAGGGGGACTGGGGCAGTGGGCACCCGGGGTCACCTGGGTCCCATCTGTAGAGAGAAGAGAGATGGAGTGAAGGGGCTGCAGGAAGGGGGCAAGGAAGAGGGAGGGAACATGTCCAAGCCAGGAAGGCCCCTGCCTCTCCAGAGGGCCCCCCTCCAGCGTGAGCCCTCCAAAACCTGGCCCCGCCAACAGAAGCTCACCAAAAAGAGAAGACTCCATCCCATCCCATTCCTCAAATCCCCATGCGGATGGCAGCGATCCTCAGCTCCCTCTTCCTCATCCAATCTCCTAAGCGACTCAGGTAGCTCACCCTGCAGGAGCTCAGTTCACAGCAGGAACCCAGGGAGGCCCCGTTCACCCAACAATGCCCTCAGCCCTCCCAATGTGCTCAGATACAATCTTCCCTGGGCCCAGGCTCCTGTAGCCCCAAGGGAAAGAAGGGGCTGGAGGTGGGACAGCAGGGCTGGTGAGACCTGTTGAAGATGCCAAGAGGGAGGAGGAGGAGGAGGAGGAGGAGGAGGAGGAGGAGGCTTGGAAAAGGGGACCTGAGCCCACTCAGAGGCTTCACAGTGGGGGAGGGACTAGGTCATGGCCTGGAGGTCAAGTCAGGCCTGGTGGGCGCTGTAAAGTGATGGGTCTGGAATGCGCAGCCCAAGGACCCCATAGTAGGTACCCCTTTCCTCCTACTGCTCCAGCTGTGCCCTTCAGCCAGCCCCCTCCCCCCAGCCCCTGGCCCCCCGCCCAGAGAAAGAACTGCTCAGCCCTTTTCTTGAATAAGTTGTAACAGAAGTGGTTCCTTCTGGAAATGGCCACCTGTCACAGCCTCCTAAGCCCAGCTCAGACACATCCCATTCAGAACCCATGAAACGCCACAGTAGGGCCAGAGCTGTGAGCAGCACAGAGGCCCTGAGGAATACAGACTGGATGGGGTGGGGGAAGACAAGGTGAGTCCAGAGGCCATCTGTCCAAAGTGGACACTTTCCCTCCTGCTGTCCCAGCTCCGGGTCGAGGAGACAGGAGGCCAGGAGATTGGAAAGCTGGGAGGGGGCGTCTGGTGGACACACAGAAGCCCTCCTTTGGCACAAGGAATCTTTTCTGGAGGACAACTGGTGAGTGCTGCTCTCTGGGCTGTGTCTAAGGGGCAGCCACAGTTCCTCTTCCAAAGCTGAAAAGGAGAACTCCCTGCAGGCAGGCGCTGGGGGAGGGGGCAACTCCAGGCACAGAGAGACTCCCACCAACTGGCTTCCATCACCAGGGCCCTGAGCTTTGAATGACAATGCTTGGGAGGGAAATACCACTCCACCTATTCACATTCTGCCCATCTTTTGAAGTCCAGTCCACGCCCATGTCCTCCTGAAGCCCATCCTGACCGCTCCTGGCTTCCCAGAGCAGCCGTTCTGTGTCCACCACCTGGACACTCCACTAATTATGGCCCCTGGGTGTCGTCTGTAAGCCATGCCCACCTGCACCTAACACCTTGCTGGGCACACGGCAGAAAGTGGTGAGTGGAACATAATGACTCTCTCCTGGCCCCTTGCCTGGGACAGGGCATGAACATTTCTCAAGGTCTGTGAACCCCAAGGAACACTGGTGTGGGAGGCAGTCTCTCCACCCCAGGACGTGGTAACCCCTATCCCAGCTTCTCTTAGGACCGCCTCTCTTTTTTGCAGGACCTGGTCCCCCAAGACAGGTTTCTGAACCAGGCTCCGGGGTGCACGCTCAGAGGCCACGTCCGGCCTGGAGTCCCTGCCTCTGGGGAATTCTCTCCTACCTCCGGGGGTCCCTGCCTGAGGCCTGGTCAGCAGCCTTCACGCTCTGGAACAGAACCCGGTTCTCTGCGCTTCGCTCCCCTGGTAACTGCGGATTCTGGACACCCTGCACTTTCTGGAGGAAAACTAATGGCCCTGAACTCTAGTGTGTGGCTGCCTGGCCCCAAAGGGATGTTCTGTGATGCTGATTGATGGTCTACATTCTGTTCAGAAAAAGTGTGTGTGTGTGTGTGTGTGTGTGTGTGTGTGTGTGTGTGTTGCCAACAGGGGCTGCTTCCAAAGCAATTCCTGGAAAAAAGTTCTGCTTCTCCCCTAACTCCCTGGCTCCGTGCTGACAACCTCTGAGTTCAGAAGAGCCCAGAACAATAGAGAAAAGATCCCGGGAACAGCTTTCCTGTGTCCCAGAGGGAGGAAAGGTATTAAAAGGGACACAGTCGGTGGTTGAACTGAAACCAGAAAGTGAACATCCTGCATCCTAGGCTTGGGGATAAGGCAAGGGACCCTTCTTCTCCTTGGCCCCTCTCAGAGCCACTAATTTGGGGTGAAACTGTAATAAGATCAGGAGTGAATGGACCTGAGGGACCGAGAATGCTTCATAGGGCTGGATCCTTCTCCACACATCTCCTGGCCAGGGTGGGGACCTCTCCTTTTTGGAATCCTGGCTGCCCCCCCGCCCCCCCCCCCCATTTCTACCATCTTGGGAAGCAGCTGCAGTCAGGCTGAAGGGGCAGTTTACTCAGTACCAAGGCACTGGGCCTACCGAGTCACCTCCCCAAACCAGAACACCTGCTCTCATCCAGAACCAAAGAGCCCCAGAAATCCTGCTCCAGGGGTCCTCCCGGCCCTCAGCAACCTCCAGAGCAGACACAAAGGCCACTCTTCTATCCCTGGGCACCTGCCCAGCTGCTCTCCCCTCCTACCTTGTTGCCTTGGGCCCTACCTGCCCCGCAGAAACCTGAGCCTGTCTGATCACCTGCTCCCCCAGGGGTGGCAGGCCCCTGGTCAGGGAGAGGGCTTCCCGAGGAGCACTGCCACCCAGAAGCCTCCTCCCATCACCTCCAAAATCTTTCTTAAGCGGTTCCACATGCCTGGCCTCCTGACCAGCTAAGGAGGCCCAGGCCCCAACAGCCAGAGGAGAGCAGGCAGCAGCAGGCAGCAGCAGCAGGAGGCCAAATGCCAGGTCAGGGCTGACCCCTGCCCGCCCCACGCTGCAGCTCTGACATAGGCAGGACAAAGCTTGACTCCGTATTTGGCTGGCAGAGAAGAGGAAAGCTGGGGGGTGAAATGGCTTCAGGAAGATCCCAAAATAAACAAACACAAGAAAGAACAGCATGGTTGCCAGACCTCTCTGACACAGCGAGGGCTGAGCACAGAGCAGCTCTTCTTGAAGGCACTCAGGTCACAGAGTCTGAGAACTTTAGGAACGGTGGGCTTTAGAGACTGTTCAGAGTAACACAGAGGAGGGAAGACAGAGGGCAAGGGGCTGGGTCACGGTCATCCGGCAGGTCAGTGGTACAGCCAGGCCAGATCAAACCCAAAAAGTTAGTCCCAGACAGAGGTACGAAGGTCCTCCCTGTGAGATCACTCCTCTGGGGGTTGAAGAGATGGAAATAGGAATGAAATCTGGTTCTCACTTTCAAGGAGTTTAAAATAAAGCACACTTTTTAAAAAAAATTTAAAAAAAAATGCTACGTAGATACTAACAAATTTCCAAGGAGCCTCAAGAAGTATAAAACAAAGTTTCTCGCTCATCCAACTCCCTTGAACTTCCCTAGAATCAACCCCTTTTGACAGTTTCTTGAGTTTCCCTTCCAGAAATTCTCTTACTAATTTTCTTGGCACGAAGCTGCCTATTGCTCAGATTTACCCAGAACCCAGGGAGCTGGAAGCTGCCTGGAAACTCCTGCCACATGAAGTCATGGAAGTGAGGGTTCTCAGAGTGGAGGACATTGGCTTTGAAGTCAGATGGACCTGGCTTCAAACTCTGACTCCCTCAGTGACCAGCAGGGAGAGCCAGGGACACGATGTAACCTGGTCAAGCCTCAGCTGCCCCTGTAATGAGCGGATAATATCTGCGTGGGAGCAGCCATCTGAGATGAACCACGCTGTGCGTGAGCCACCTAGCATGTGGTTGGTGCTGCCTTCATGGCCGTGATCAATACTGCTGACCCCTGAACTTGCCTGCAGCCTCCCTCTGGCACAAGCACTTCATCCTCCTCTCCTCTACCACAGCCCATTTTCTCCCGGACGCCGTCCCCAGCCCCATCGTGTATCCCATGCCTCTCCCAACCTGTCTCATCGCTTGCTCTTCCACCTGAACTTTTGTAAACTAACACTTGACTGTGTGCCCGGAGTTGCTCTAAGTGCCTTACATGTGCTACTTCATCTACCCCTCATGACAAACCAACAAGACGGTTACTGTTTTTATTGCCATTACACAGATCAGCAGGCTGAGGCCCAGCAGTGTTGTCTGAAGTCACGTAACTTGGAAGTGGCTGAGCTGGGACTTGAGCCAGGCAACTGGGCTCCAGAATCCAAGTTCTCAACCAACACACCCAACTGCTTCTCCCCAACACGTTTTCTCCCCGCAGGCCAGCAAGGGGAGAGCAAAGGCAGGACCTAGCTGGGCACCGGGGAAGTCGCACAGCCCCCAGAGACCCCGACCAGCAGTAAACCCCACCCCTGCTGCAGGCTGGAGGGGAGAAGCTGCCTATTTCATCTCTGGGCCCCGCAAAGACAATCCTGAAGAATCACTTCTTGATGGCAACTGACTGTTGGCTTCCCAGATCCACGCAATGACTTCAAACTGCGTGTGGGCACGTGGGGCTGGCAACGGGTCGGGGGTCTTGGAGGAGCACCCGCTTCATTTCCCCTGCTCTCCAGTGCTCTGCCATATCCCTTCTCTAGAGGCTCCCAGGTCCCTCGAGGCTCTCTCACTAGCATCCCAAAGCAAGGTCCACAGTGCAGGCAGAGGGACCAGCTGCCCACGGGGGCAGAGGCGGGGCTCCCAGGTGAGCTGCCTGGGACGTGGGGCTGCCACGACAAAGGCCTCCTGTCAGTCTAAGGCGAGGGGACTGGAGCTCTGCAGGCTCAGCAGCTGTACGCCAGCAGGAGGCTGGATGTGAGAGCCGCAGAGCTGGCCCTCCAGCCTTCGCAGCAAGCCTGCCCCTTTCCCCGCGCTGGGGCCGGGTGGCAGCTATTTTTAGCTCTTGACACCTGGGTATTTTGCAGCCGCAGGATGTCCGGTTTGGAGTCTCTTTCTGGGAATCCCGCAAGCG